AGATCATCAAAACACCCTGGAATTCAAGCCTAAGGTTTCCAAAACTTCTGAATTCCACTTTTGATCAAAAAGTCTATCAAACCTCGTCCGAATAACCTGAAATTTTGCACACACGCCACAAATGACACAACGGACCTACTCCAATTTCCGGAATTCCATTCCGACCCCGATATCAAAATTTCCGCTACCAACCGAAAAGCGCCAAAATTTCAATTTCGCCAATTCAAGCCTAAATCTACCACGGACCTCCAAAATACATTCCGATCACGCTCCTAAGTCCCAAATCACGTAACGAAGCTATCCGAACCATAAAGACCAAATTTCGGGATCGTTTACAAACAAGTCAACTTTCGGTTGACCTTTCCAACTAAAAGGCCAACTAAAGAGACTAAGTGTCTCATAACACTTCAAAACTACTCCAAACCTGGACCAACCGACATGATACGATGAAATGAAGCTGAACAACACATAAAGAAAAAGAAATGGAGAAAACGGAGCGGTAACTCATGAAACGACCGGCCAGGTTGTTACAATTTCACTTTGTGGAATTTTTAGGTTTCAATGATACCAATGAGAATGGTGCAAAAATAAAACTATCAATACGAGATTTGAAAAAATGTCAGTATTTTATCATGCAGTGTTTTTTAATTAATATCCAATGATTATCTATAATTAGCCGGTAGGTTTAAATATTAAGATTATTTACATATAATTCAAATAACTTAGATATTTAACGTGGTTAATGTCAAATATCAAAATGGAGTCATACTAGGAAAAAAATGCACTGGCTAATTTTTTTTTCAAATTTTTAGATAGCCGACTAAAATGAGTTTTAAATTAAGGATAATATTTTCACTTACATTATTATAAAAATAATTATTATTGAGAAATAAAGTTTTAGAAACTGAAATTTTAAGATAGAAATATTTTTTGAAAGATATCAACACACCAAATAAGAGTTCGAGTAGTAGTAAAAGAGTTAAGTCGTATCCAAAGCGTCCTTCATAGTCTCAACCTTTGATCGTTTGCCATAAATATGAGTTATTATTTTGCTTCCTGACTATTTTTAGGATCCAATGACACCGGTAAGAATTATTCCTAAAAAGAAAAGTAGAATTATAACTAGGAGATTTGAGAAATGGTTAATCTTTTTCATATAATATTTCTTGATTAATATTCAATGATTATCTATATTTATCGAGAATGTTTAAATTTTAAGATTATTTAAATACAATTCACATAACTCAAATAACTGACATGATTAGTGTCCGCGCATCCGCGCGGGTGCTAATACTAGTTAATATAAATGAGGGAATAGAAGAGATGATGTGGCATGCCTCTAAAACCAGCAAATCTATTTTTCTTTTATGGCATTTTTTCCTTTCTATTTTGTTCCACCGAAGCCATATTGAAAGAAGTAAAACCGTATTTTTTTTCTGTTATTTTGTGTATTTAATTGCCCATAAATTATGAGTATTTATTTCCCATTAAATCCATTAAACCCCTTTACTTGCTGATTCACATACCTTAGCAGTTTTTTCATTGGGAAGAATATGAGAATTCTGACCCCTTGACTCTCAAATACTTCCAATCCTCCATGGTGGTTCTATTGCTTCCATTCCCCCTCTCATATAAGTTTGGAATTGCAAAGACTAGCTTTTGCCATTCCTATTCCTATCATCATTCACTTCAGCAACAATATGGGTTTGTTTACTCTATTTTTTCTTTGTTGGATTTATTTTAGTAATAGCTAAATATATTGTATTATCACATATTAAGTTTGTCAGAGAATTATTGATTATTATTCATGCTCTTACTCGCGTTTATCGGTTGAATTGATTTTTTTAATATTTTTCTGTTTTATATCATTAATTAAATCGATCGCTAAGCGCAAATCTCTGTAATTCCTTTTTTTAGTTGTATCATTCGATATGCATGTAATATTTGTCTTTTTTACTTGCTACAAGTTGTGCTTAATGTTGAAGACCAAGCCAAGCAACAAGTATTACTTTGTCTTGAGAAATGCGGTTTGTGTTTCAAGTTTAGATTGCATCTTGCAGATATTTCTTCAATTTTTTCGCTGCATGGGCTATCTCTGGACTATGATTCTATAACTTGTATTTCCTTTCTTTAATTGTTAATGTAAAAAACAATTGTTCTCCACTTCGTATAAAAGCACACTTAATTAATCAGCAAAGATTGATTTTTTAAATAAATTATGACATTAGACATATTTTGATATTTAACCGCGCGAAGCGCGAATAAATTCACTAATTTTAAAAAATAAAGCAAAAGACTCTTTTACCTATAAGTTCTTTTAAAGAACACTAGAATACAATTATCGCAGTACCCATATTTTGGCAAACTCGAGTCAAAGCCTATAAAATATGTAGCAATTAAAATTAAATTACATCATATTTCGATAGCATGTGAGGTGAACACTTCAATTAAGCTAACATCGTTACTTAAATAATAGTAAAATCAAAAGCAAAAAGACACATTATATCGTAACTTTGAATTGTCCTTTGAGTAAAGAATAATCAATAGCTACCTTTGCTTGTTAAGAGGTCAATAAGTACAGCTGCATGCGGGTGAAATTCAAAAATAGGCAGATTTATAAGTGGTAAATTGAAAAATAGCCACAGTTTTAAAAGTAATCGAAATTTAGCTACTTTTTATGTAAAGAAAAATCTTAACAAAAACACTGTTCAGAATCCAAAAAATATTCCAGCATAATATACTGGAGTTCCGGCATAACATATTGGATCTCCAACATAATATACTGGTTCTAGTATAATATACCGGTCCAGCATAATATGCTGGAAGTTCATATACACGTGGTCCAATCTCCAGTATATTATGATGGAACTTTCCGTGTGTTGGAGTTCCAGCATAATATGCTAGAAGTTCCTACACAAGTGCACCACTCTCCAGTATATTACGCTGGAACTTTCCGTGTTGCAACTATTTTCCAATGACTTTGCAAAAGCTGGCTGTTTTTCAATTACCATTCCGAAAACTAGCTAGCCCGTGCTATTTTCACAATAACATACATAAGCTTGCTCTTGAAAAGAAGAGAAATAACCAATAAAGGTTGTGATAGAGTGGTAATTAATACTCTTTTATCTTTAACCAGATATTTCGTGTTCGAGCCCTAAATATGGAGTCGCCTTTGTTAGGGAACACTTTACATCCCAAATGTGAAATGTCCCGGCGCGAATACGGATATCAGAGTGGGAAACCCAAAAAAAAAGAAGAGAGAAATAAAGTACAAAAGAATAAAAATCTAAGGACTATGCCTTTTACTTCCATTAAAGTTGACTTTGACTACGGATTGCTTCAAGAGAAAATTTTGCTAGGTTTTCACATGTATGTTAACAATCCAAGGAATTATGATCATTTTTTATTCCGCAAATTGGTAAATTAAAAAGGTTTTAATAATTAGAGGTGAAGTTTCAGATTTAAATTATAAATTATTCCGAGAAGGGAGAAAATCATGATATGGAGCACTTCTGCCTTTAATATACTTACACGGCAATGAATTCGAATTAGTTGTTTCAGTAAATTCTGAATTGTAAATTCTGAATTTAGGATAATTATTCGAAATAAGAAAAAAATTTAAGTGACCTCTAATGTTGTGGGACTTGACAAAGTAGTGGATGAGAGTACTATTATCTATACATACTTCGTTGTGTGACCTAATTCGAAGCATGATGGTTAAACTAATTAATTTTTAGTGTGAATTCGGACATACAATATTTAAATATTTTTGAAATAAAACTATTTAAAAATTATATAAAAGTACTATAATTTATAATATTTAACAATTTAAAATATCTAAAAAGTATTTTAAAAAATCATGGTAATTTTTTTTCTTTGACTTTTTAAATAGTAACTAGTTCCCATAATAGAGGGACTAATTGGTATTCTCCTATGGGCGCATGATCCAATTTCCTAAGACTTTTTCTTTTCCCTTCTCCCAACTTGGCTCCCAAACCCAAATATATATTCCCTCCGGTCCAAAATAAGTGATTTTTTGGATGTTTTCACACAGATTAAGAAATCCACCTTTTAACATTAATTAGTAATGGAATTGACCATATTAACCTTTACTATCTCACATAAACACTCCTAATACATATTCCAACACTATTTACTCCAAAGACAATGTAGGAAAAAAAATAATTAATTCATTCTTGAAATCTGAAAACATCAGTTATTTTGGACCACAAGAAAAAGGCCAAAAAATCACTTATTTTGGACCGGAGGGAGTACGAGTATATATATATGCGTGTGTGTGTGTTGGTGGGGGGGGGGGGGGTACCCAGTTTGAAGATCCCTAATAAAAATTTAGAGTATATGATATATATATTAAGCAACTTGATCATGAAATTCCTAAATAAAAATTTAATTATTACTGGGAATACTTTCTCAGATTTACTAACAGAAGCGGAGCTAGCATATAATATGCGGTTTCACGTGTACCTGGTAGCTTTGATCAAATTTTTATATGTACAATTTTTTTGTTGTGAATTTAAAACATTATAGGAACTACTAAACTTTAAATCCTAGATACGCCTCTACTTACTATATAACTTCTAATTAAAAAGGCATAATTTCTTGAATACCAACTACTACAAAGGAATAATCAAGCCATGTTTCTAACTTTAGTTTTTTTTCCCCATCTTAGCAGTAGTAATTTAAAAGTCGTGAACACATAAAAGTCACAAAAATAAAGCCCAAGCACATATTCTAAAATTGCAAAATTAATTTGCTCAACATACCCAAAAAATTGTTAACAAAAACAAGTTATAACTATATTACACTCTTGTCGTAGAATACTTAATATTATTACATCAAACTTTGGATGATGAATCAATAAGGAAATATAAATATGTATAATGTTCTTGAGGGTCAACCACCAAATGAAATGTGGTTGTTTATTCATAATAATAACAATAATATGAACTTAAATTATAAGTATATAAATTTGCCAAACCTTAGGCGTAATCACACATGCCATAAAAGCAATATCCACCAGTCATGCACTTACTGTTGCAATATCCACAATGCCTCTTATCAAAAGACAGATTCACGCATTCACCTCTGCAACAAGTCTCAGTAAAACGACATTTCTTTTTGCAGGCGCCACAATTATGATCATCATACTTTAAATCGACACATTTATTATTACAACACGTTGCGTTTCCGCCCTGTACTTCAAAAGCTTGACAAATTTCATGTTCCTTGTGACAATGATCAGCTGCTTTTGGATTCCTTGGTTTTTGTTCAACAAGAAAACGACTCACTTTCCTCTTGATCAATGGAGAAGGAATTGAGAGTTTTTCCTTCGTATTTTCGAATTTTTCGACACGTTGAGTGGTGAGCATGGCTATGGTAAATGCCATGGCAATGGCCAAAGGAATCAAGAATTTCATCACCTTCATTTTTCGTGAAGGTGAAATGTAAATTAAGCTGCTCGATTTCGTTAATATTGTTGAGGGAATAGGAAAGAAGAAGAAGAAGAAGAAAAAATGTTTAGTTTGGTAATGAGTTGGGGAGACATTGAAGGGTTTTATACTTGAGTTTATAATTGATTTATGGGACAATTATAATTTTTAATCCCTAAGTTATAGGTAAATTGTTATTTTATTCCTTGAGAATTGTGATGTTGGGCTACCAATATTTGACCTCCAAGTAATTAAAATGTGTGTTTTTATTTTACATGTAGGCTGTTATAGTTAGATACTTTTTAGAATTATATTACCCTCAGATTTAGAGAAACATAATTAATTTAACATAGTACACGGGTAATTAAATGGTTTAACGTGCAATAATTAATTCGTTAAATTTGTGAAAATTCATAAGTAGATCGATCAAAAGTGTATATTTTAAATAATTGAAGGTTAAATGTGCTTAATAACCAGGTACCACAAGATTTCCCGAATCAAAATTTGTCAATATTTCAAGAACCAGAAGCTTAAATTTCATTATGTTATACTCCATCCGTTTCCTTTTACTTGTTCACTATATTAAATACATATATTTTTACTTTTACTTGTACTATACTAAATCAAGAGAAAGACAACTTTTTTCTTCTAGTTTTACCCTATCATTAACTACTTACTAATCAAATTATTTCCCAAGACCTTTTGAAAGGCTATCATTATTAGGGTTATATGATAAAATACATATTACAATTATTATTTCTTAAAGGGCGTGAAAAATCCAAAGTGGACAAGTAAAAGTGAACAGAGGGAATATATGTTGACACTACATAATTATTATATATGATGCAATTTAACTCATATATAGCAACAAGAACAATAACAACAAAGTGTAATCCCACAAGAGGTTTGGGGAGGGCAATATATACGTAGCCTTACCTCTATATTGTGCAGGTAAAGAGGCTGTTTCCGGTAGACTTTCGACTCCAATATCATAATTATAGCAAGTTGTGATATTATTTTTCATGTTATTGTATCATACTTGATATGGAAAGTTAATCTTAGGTTAACTACTCAACTTAATTAATTAACTTCATAATATAAATTTTATTACTCTTTTTACTTTGTCATGAAATTATAAGTTTGAGTGTTGACTTTTGAACAAGCTGGCGGAATGTGAAGAAGCAGCAATCAAACTTAGGAAAGAGTTGAAGAAATAATTAAAGATTTAATTAATGAATAGTACCTTTACTTGTTAGAAAAATTGCCGACTTAAATGCATGGTTTTGCATGTTGTAAAATGAAGTTAAAGTAATGTATAGTTTATATGGACAATACACAATATGTATTATTGTCTTTAATTTTAAGACTTTGGTTTACTTACTTCTTCAGGTTGCTTTGATATGTTTTAAAGTGGTTTACAGGAAAATTTAACACGTCTACACAACGAGTGTATATAATATAACTTTTGTTTTTTACAATATTAACATACCACCTCATATATTCCTATGGACAGAGGAAAATTCAGAATTTGGAGGGGGAGGCACATGAGTAAACTGCTCAGCTAGTCATGCCCCCATCGAACTTTCGATCTTAAGGCCGTACTAAGCAAAATATATGACTGTTTTTAATATATATATACTTTCAAAATTATTGAAGAAGTCAACATGATCCGGTAAAACCCCTATTCTCCAAGCATAGGTCCGCCTCGGCCTATATAAGGGAACCTTAATTGGAGCAACGGTAAAATTGTCTCAGTGTATCACTAAGTCAAGGTTTCAAGTCGTGAAAGCAGACACTAATGCTTGCATTAGGGTAGATTATTTACATCACACCCTTAGAGTGCGACCCTTTCCCAAACCTTTCGTTAATGCAGAATACCTTGTGCACCAGGCTGCCTTTTTAATAACTTTTGTTTTCTATTGGTGCAAATTTCATTGTTTTTTTTTGTTTTACAGAAGTAAAAGAAACTCATTTTTTTTTTGTGTGTGTGTGTGGTG